ATTTTGTTCTTACATAAACGAGTCATTATATGTATGTTTTAAATTATGACTGGAGAACTGACTAAAATTATAAATTCATTGAAGAAAATATAGCTACATTAAAAATTTATTACGTACTAACGATGGGATTTTCCAATTTTCAATTGTTAACAGCAAATTATTAAATTAATATTTTATTTCTAACGATTAATAAATGAATGATCCAAAACGTATAAAAGATATAATCAGTGATCAATCATAATTTTCAAATTAAAAATAATGCAAAATGTAATAGAAATTTTATGCATTCAAAATCTGCCGAAGAATAGCCTTAAATAATCAAATGGAGTCTTTGCCTTGAAAATCACCCTCCGACAGGACAAAAACAAATCCATATATTAGTTCACGTTTATATTTGAATCTCTTTTTGCTTTATTGATTCGAAACTTTATTCTATAAACTATTGAACTATTAAGACAAAAGGGGGTTTACATATAAAAATGAACTAATACACGGCTTTGTTTTTGTCAGAATTAGCCCGATCGGAAATGCCGGAAGGTGATTTTCAAGGCAAAGACCTCGAGCATTCAATGATTTTTATGCAATATTAAGATTTATAATAAAAATCATTGGTTGTATCTAGGGTATGGAATGGGACGGGCTGAGCCCGCAAATTTGTGGGTCGGGCCGGGCCTGGTTTGGGCTTAGATTTTATAATATGGGCCGGGTATAAGTCCGGGCCTGCAAACTACCGGGCCGGGTTTGGGCTTCATAAATATATCAATAATACCCGCTAAAACCCGTAATACAAGAAGTAACCAATCAAAATTAGCAAACATAAATACAGTTTGCTTGATTGGACGTATGAAATACCATCTTCAATTGGATAAACTAGAGTACGTCACCTTAGCACAGCCATAAAGTCAAAACATCGGTTTAGTCTTTCTTCATAAAAAAAAATAATAATAATTCAAAATAATTAAGCGAAAGTATTTTAGTCATGCGCCTCCAAAATTCTTTTTCTAAGGCCATGCAAAATTAATTTCTTGGTTTTCATAACCTGGCCGGGTCAAAAAATTGAAAATTTCAATTTTTTTTTTTAAATAAGCCAATAGAAATGCGGATTGCTTTAGATAGCAGTAATTAAATTATGAGATTATCTAGATCTCATTATAACGTACTACTCAAATATGCAATTGTTTATAATAATTATTTCTCACTGCCTACCATAATATAAATGATTGAAAAGCCTGTCAACGAAGTGACAGAGTGATCAGGCACCGCGGCTGTGATAATAGTGCAAGAGCCTTGTGTTTGGAGATTAGGCTCCGTGGCTACAATAGCAGCGCAAGAACATCATGTTACGCTACAATAGCAGTAAAAGGACCTCATATTTGATGATAGTGCGAAGACTTCATATGAAATTAGGTACCACGGCTACAATAGAAGGGAAGTTCTCATATTTGCTACTTAGACTCTGCGGCTGAGATAACGGTGCAAGGACCTTATATTGTGTTTGTACACCACGGCTGCAACATTACAATGTTTGTCAAAGTACTTGCAAAGTATTTGCTCTAAATACTTAGTAAACACTTATTGGGCCTAGGCAAATCTAGGGTTGTGTTTAGTTCAACTTTCTAATGAATGACAGTGCAAGGACCTCACGTTGATAATTAGAATCTGTAGCTGCAATAGCAGAGCAAGGACTTCATGCAAATGATTAGGCAAGGGCCTCAAGTTGATGATTTGGCTTCGTGGCTGCAATAGTAGTGCAAGGACTTCGTGCAAATGATTAGGCAAGGACCTCAAGTTGATGATTAGGCTTCACGGCTGCAATAGTAGTGCAAGGATTTCATGTTGTGATTAGGCTCCACAGCTGCAATAGCAGTGCAAGTACCTCATATTGATGATCAGGCTCTGTGGCTGCGACAGCAGTACAAGGTTCACATGTTGTAATTAGGCCTCACGGCTACAGTAGTTGTGCAAAAACCTCAAGTTGATGATTAGGCTCCGTGGCTGCGATAGCAGTGCAAGGTCCTCATGTTGTAATTAGGCTCCAGTAGTAGTGCAAGGACCTCATTTTGATAATCAAGCTCTGCGGCTGCGATAGCAGTACAAAAACCTCATACTGTAATTAGGCACCGCGGCTACAGTAAGTAGTAGTGCAAGGACCTCATGTTTGATGATTAGGCTCCGCAACTGCGATAACAGTGCAAGGAGTTTATGTTGTGATTAGGCTCTGCGGCTGCAATAGCATTGCAAGGATCTCATACTGTAATTAGGATCCGCAGCTACAGTAGTGCAAGGACCTCATATTCAATAATTAGGCTCCGCGGTTGCGATAGCAGTGCAAGGACCTTATTTTGTAATTATACAATAGCAGCGCAAAAACTTATGGTACGCTACAGCTATGTAATTTTTTCTTGGTTACATTTCCATGCAAGATGCAATATATTATAAGGTAGATGGTTAGCTTCGGACGAGAATATTTCCTTGGATCTAGATATTCTAATATGTATGATGTAATTAATAGTGAACGGAATCTCCATATGTTTTTCTTCGTCCAAATAAAGTCATCTGGTTGAGCAACAATAATTGCAATTATCAAAACAAGAGATTAGGTGCGAGCCTGGATCTTTTCTGTATGCAGGTAAAAAATATTATTTCTTTGATAGCACGCTTTTTTTGTTTCCTTACAAATTATTCGATTTTTATTATTAGTTTTTTTTTATAAATATAAAAAAAGAGCGTTATTACTTTAAAGAACGCATTAAATGGACCAGACAATTATAATATTATCTGTGTGGACTAGCTCATGAATTATTGCAGTTTAAATTTTATATTACTATTGACTTGCATTATGTTTGTAATTATACTGATGTTGAACGCCCTATTATACGATATAGTGTGAATGCGAAAAAATTAATAATATGAATATGGTCATGCAGAGATTAGATTTTAGGCCTTACTGTATGTACATACATTTCTAATAAATAAGTTATTATTTTAAAATATTTTTTTTTAAAAAAAAAAAATCTGGGTCGCTGGGTCACCGGGTTAATAAATTTATTTTATGTTATGAAAGCCAAGAAATTTAATTTGTATGGCCTAATGTAGTAAAAAAAAAATCGAAATAATCTAAACATTAACTTAAATAAGTGCTTCTGACACAACCTCAAAATTCCTTATGTTCTGGGTCGCGATTTTTATTTTTATTTAAAAAATAATTGGCACGAACATTTGAACTTAATTATATACTGGGTCGCGATTTTTACTTTTATTTAAAAAATAATTGGCACAAACATTTGAAATTTTTAAATTCATTTTTATTTATACTGTTACAATACTGCAAATAAATAAAATGCTACTGCAAATTGCTAATTAATAGATTTTTTTACTCAAGTTTTCAAAAGCCATTTTCTGAAAGAAAAATAATTAGTCAGTATTAAGTTCTTTCGGGTAAATAGCTTTCAGAAATCGTCTGCCACAATATTTCTAGTTTGCTAATTAGTAAAGCTAAAAATAAATATAGTACTATATGAGTGCCATCAAAGGAAAACATACAATCTGGCTTTCAATTATATTTTGTGTACAATCGACAATCTATTACACAAAATGTGATTGAAAGTCAGATGATAGATTGCCGATAGATGGCCAAATGTACACAAAATATAATTGAAGGCCAGATTATAGGTTTTCCTTTGACGGTACTCATAGTATTTAATATTTGGGCCGGGCCGGGCCCGGGCCTAATTTAAAAAGAAAGCCCGACCCGGCCTCATATTCAGGCTTTTTATCGGGCTTGGGCTTTGATTGGGCTCAAAAAATTTTTTCCGGGTATGTTTTGGGTCTATGAAAGCCCGGCCCATTCCATATCCTAGTTGTATCATCTTCGATAATTCAATTATTAATTGCGTTTCGGATTTATTCAATACAATGAGATGAGCCAATAAAACTTGGAAGAATTTGAAGAGACCAATCATAGGGCATATTCTTTTCACGTTAGTCGCACGATCGTTTTTTTGTATACTAATTTTAATTTTACGCGAGGTACGTTCATAAAGACTACTGACTACATTCCCGGTTTTTATACCTGTGGCCGAAATATTTCGGCCATTTCGACAACTTGGTAAATGATAAAGTAAAGTTATCAATAATTTTGTAAAGGTGGTAGAAATCAGCATATATGTTCGCAGAAACTTATGAAAGGTCCTTTGGTGTTTCGGCTTTTCAGAATAATTTTTGGCAATCCATATTTAATTTTTGGCCGAAATTTCAAAGTCTAACCGAAAATTATTCTGAAAAGCTGAATACCAAAGGGTCCTGCATAAGTTTCTGCGAATCTGGCTTAACATACTGTATATGAAGCTAACCTTTATAAAATTATTGATAACTTTACTTTAATCATTTACCAAGTTGTCGAATGGCTGAAATATTTCGGCCACAGGTATATCTTGGTTTGGCGTGACTATATACTGTATATATTATATATTATTATAATGTTATAATGTTATGGTATCGCATTATTAAATACTAAGGTACTACTGTATAGTATTATGATATTATGGCATTAATAGCATACGGCATTACGACAGCATTACACGACTAAGGATAGATTAATTTAGATTTTCATTTAAAGAAAAGATAAAGCTATCAGTTGTTTCAGCATGTGAATTGCTAACTTTCCAAATAAGAGGATTATAACCTCCAACTATTTCACTCTTGCCATTAATTTTAAATTTTGAACTTTATATTGAAAAAAAATATACATATGCAGATACTAACAATAAGTACTACTTAGACGTGCAAATATTTTAGCAACCACTAAAACTTTTCATATCTCATTAATCTTGCTGAGGATCAATAAGAATTTTACTCTTACCACCTCCAGCAACAATTTTCACCCTTGTTTTCATATCAAAAGGATTCCCATCATACGCTACAAAATTTGCAATTTTGCCTTTCATTAACCTTCTATTTCTCCCATCTAAGCCAAAAATTTCTTCCAAGTTCCATGAAATAAATCCAAGCGCATCTTTTTCGGAAATAACCCCTCTAGAATTTATACCTGCCCAGCCAGCTTCCCAAATTAAATTTCTTTCCCTACCTGATTCTATTACACCTATTCCTACTATAACTTTATTCGCATGAAGTATCTCAATTCCGGTTGTATTGGTAATAGGCGCTCCTGTTAATGCATGTTGAGCCGTCCATAACTTTGGAGTAGGTCGGGATGGGATAAGTATTACAGGTATTTTATGTTTAGACAATTCAACGGCAAGCAAATGTGCTTCAGTACCACCCAATATCACAAGTTTTAAATGTCCTCCATTGTTTTCAATTTGAATTTTCAATCGGATCAATGAAGCAATTTCATCTTTGCTGTGAGTTCGTACTACTAAAGGGATATCTCCTCGTGCAGCACGACCAAAGACATTATGTTGCTTTAGATTCTTTAACAAGGCTTTTCTTATCAAAGCAATCTGACCTGAGACTGTCGGTATGGTGGCTGTTCATTAAAAATGATCTCATGAATAAGTAAATAATAAAATTAAATAGATATATAATTATAATAAATTTATATTACTATATTTGAATTCAGCCCCTATATTAGCATGAAGTGCTACATGTTCCTTAACAATCGGATTAGGATCATAATCTAGAACTTATTAAAGAAATAAAAACATCTAATAAGCACTTGCTAACAATCGTCAAGATAAAATTCTTAGAAATATTATACCAGAACTACCGCCGGTTTCAAATGCCATAGAAACCCCAATAAACACTCCTTTAGACGAGAGAGGTGCTGTGACGGCAGTAAGTATTCCAGCCTTATATGCGGCCTCTAAATGTTTGCCTCCCAATTTTAATCCATCGATTGCGTAAATAATTTTTTCAGCGTCGTTAGGATTGGATACAGCTGTCACTTTACCATCTGATGTGGAGGATTCACTATCGATCTCTGATAATCCTAGAGATGGCGCAACAGCAATGAATCCCTTAAATTGAATAGGTTTATGTTTATTATTAAAACTTCATATTTTGCAAAATACAAGATTTAAAACAAAAAACCTACCGGCAATACGTATCCACCATTTAAATCAATTACTTCATACGATGAAATATGATCTGGTTCTGTACAATTAATACCAATACATTCAACAATGCCATCTTTAATTATTACGCGAATATCTCCTTGTGTTGATGAAGTGGTATCAATTACATGGTTCTTATCAACATAAATCTTGCCAACATTTTTTAACACAATAGAAGAGGTTAATTGTGATTTAGCAGGCTCTCGTGTAAAATTTGACTTTGGTATAGATTTTGATGGGATTTGTTTCGATGAATCGTTTCCAAGTACACATGATGAAGTGTTGAATTGAGGAATTCCATCGATATAAACTTCTAATGGAGTTGCACCCAAATCAAGTGGATGAGAATCCCAAACCTAGCCATAAAATAATCATCAATAAAAATACATATTTATAAAACCCAATCTACATTGCATATCAATTTATCCATATTACCACAACATCAGCGTCATATCCCTTTGAAATTTGACCAATGCGATGATCTAAACCAAGCGCCTTTGCAGGCACTGATGTGACGGATGCAAGGGAAAGATGTTCACCAAGGCCATAATAATTTGCCTTGGAAGCTTCAAACATCAAAGTTTGCTATAATTAAAATATAATATTTTAGAGAGATTTCAAGCAACAAAAACATAAATAATAATAATAATAATAATAATAATCTACCGCATTTATTATATCGTGATCAGATTTTATAGCTACGGGAATTTGTGCATCAGCTAAAATTTTCAGTGACTTTGTACTAGCTTGAAATGCTTCCTTTTTGTATCCCCACAAGTCAGAAAATGTTGCAATAGTGATATTATTTTTTACACGCGTTTTAATCATTTCAGTAATACGATAAGCATCTAGCGCATGATGTAAAGCTGTAATAGTAAAATTAAATTCCAAAGAATGTCGAATAATTGCTTCTATATCAGTGGTCTACATAAGAATATTATATTAGAGGTTTTTAAGCATTGGTTACAAATTTTGCAATAACCACAAACCTCATAACAGTGGACATTCAGCTTCACATCGCCTCTTAATAATGCCACCAAACTTTCAAGTCGAAGATCTTCCGGAAAATATGAATTCAATTGTTCGTCGCCACTTAATTTTTCTGCAGCTTTACACCAATCATCTTGTTTCCGCATCAATGTCTGTGCCTCATTAAAGCGTTTACGGAAGAGCCATGCTTCTCCCATCCGTGTAGAAGGTATTCGTCCAATGGAACCATAATTCCTCTTTATTTGGCAAGAAATTAATCAACATGTGAATTATTAAATATAATAACATAAATAAATGTCAATGAGTACCTTTGGATTTTCGCCACAAGCCATTTTTAACCAACGCCAA